AGCCGGCGGAGCCGAGGTGCCAGCCCGCCGGGGACGGGGTGGGGAGAGCTGCCCTGCTGCCTGCCCCCCAGCCCCGGGCTGCCTGCATGGCTCCCGGGCACGGCTCGGCTCGGGGGGGCTGCTGCTGCTGCTGAGCAACAACCCCCTGCTTGAAACTCAGCCGCAACTTAGCGCAGCAAGGATGGCAACACCACCGGAGCTCCGGAGCTGCCCAGAGAGCCAGGGAACCTGGGTTTTGTTTGCCGCTCTCTAATAAATGGGAGTAAAATGGAATTTCTTACCTGGGTTTTTCCTGCCTTGGTTCTACTGTGCACCCAACAGCACAGGTGTATCAGGTAAGAAAACGCCTTCTCGTTCTTTCTTAGACTGGCCCCAGCAGCCGTTCTCGCGGCGGGGCTGGGGTGACAAGGGCAGCTCTGCCTGGAGCTCCCACTTGTGCCCTGGGATGTTCCCCACGGCGGGGCTCCGACTGCTGGAGTGAGGGCTCGGTAGAAAAAGGGGTCTGGACTAAGAGTTTCCTCAGCGTGCTCCCTCTTTTCTTTTCTTTTCTTTCTTTTTTTTTTTTTCTTTCTTTCTTCTTTTTCTAGCAGAGGATGCACTTCTGCCAACCGAGCAGCAGTTTCTTGGGTTAGTCAAGGGGTGTGTTTTTAACAGGGTGCCTGTGGCAGCCTTTTCCCGAGGGCACTTCCTCTAAATTGGGGACAATCACTCTTTGTAAGGGCACTGCACATCCCAGGGCAGCCTCACCCCCCTCACCACCTCTGTAGGGGGCCCGCCTGAACATGGAACTCTCCCAGAAAACCCAGCACTGCCAGTGGGCACTAACTGAACATCCGTCCTTAGGGCCTCCACAGGCACAATTTCAACCCCCCGAATACAGACACTCCTTTCTAACGGGTTCATTAACTCTCCTGAACTTGAGATAAGAGACTGGCAGAGATCTTAGTGGAGATCTGGTGAAGAACACCAACCATTTCTAAAAATCATGAATTGTAAAGATGTATGTTTGCAATTCTCAGTCACATTTATTCTGAAGGTGTTAGCTAGGCAACCAGCTATGTTCTCTATATATTCTCTACAGATCTGGAGGCTGTATGTGGAGAAAGCTTGCCATGATTATGCAATGAAAATAGAAGGGGGAGTAAAAAAGAACTTGCTGCATGTAAAAACATGCCTACATCATCCAATGCAGAGATGGTGTGGTGTTAAAGGGGTCTTCCTACTTCTACTTTATAGACATTATTAATAGCCTCAGAGGAGTATAAGAAGCAAAGTGGTAATTGTAGTAAGACATAACATTGCTGTTATAGTTTTGGGAATTAATTAGTGAGATCTGATTTTTTTCACTGGGAAGGAAAAGCATCTTGCATTAGAGGAAGTGTTAAGTCAACTGCTCTTATTCAGGACTGACATAATGATTTATTCAATGACCTTGAATCTGTTATCCAGGGTCAGATCCTGACACCCTCGAGCTCTGAAGCAATCCAGTGTTACAGTAAAGGCAGAGAAAATACTGCTCATGGCCTAAGGGCATCAGGATCTTGCCCGTAATTTTAATGATCCTGTTTCTCTATCTGCACTTCAGCTAGCATTAAGGATTTTGGTTGAAAGGTGATGTTTGAGTATAAAAGAAGGGAAAAAAAGAATTTTAAGGAAGAGTCAGCCTTCTCATCCTCTGTCTTCAAGGTCTGTTTCTAGGCACAGCAACTGCCAGGATATGTGCAACCTATAATTTGTTGGATAGATTATTTTATATTTGGATTAATTACCTAGCTACTTGACTTTCTTCCTCCAGTTACACAATAGTGATGAGTTGTTTGTTACAAACATATATACTCGTGGCAGAGTAAGGCAAGGCAAATTATGGCTTGTGAAATTCCAGCTGTTCGGTTTGTAGTAGTTTTCCAAATATGCAAACGTGTAAGACATTCAGTGGTCAGAGAAAGCTGCTCTGGTTAGTACAACGGTTTTCTGAAGATGCAGGATTTAGAGAGGCTATGGCAGAACATTGTTTATCTTGTGAAAAGTGAGTAACCTTGCTTCCATGTGTACTTTTGATGAGTTCAACAGAACTAAACCAGAATTTTATCTTTGCATCAGGATAATTACTCAAGCATAGATGACCTATGAAATAATTCCCCTTGAAAGGGCACGAGAAGCACATTAACTTCCTTATTCTTCTTCCTTGGAGTTCTGTAACATGATATGACATATAATTATTTTTGCTAAGTGATGCTTTTATGAAGAGCAGTCTTTTTATTAATACTGTGGTTTTATAATAATGGGCAAAACTGCCAACAGCTACAATTTATTGCTCTGATTTTGGTTTCTGAATGTCATGTGATTGTGGTTATGATGACAGAGGCCATCCAACACCACCAGGTTCTCTGCTCATGAGCTGTATGAACTGTATATTGACAGGTGTAAGCAAAACCTATTCCAAAACCCAAGAACATTTCAGCGAGATCTGAACTCAGTGGTATGACATAAGACCTCCCAAAGGCAAAACTACCTATTAAAGTAATGTTAGGGTTTGGCAGAGGAGGGAAGTGGGGAATACATGTAGCCTGCTTCCTCATGGCATCTTTGAATATCCTTTCAGGGTGCTTTAGGGAGCTGTATTTGAAGCAATCTCTCTGTCATGTGTGCTGTTTGGCTGAAGTGAATGAGCCAAATGCAACTTAAGTAGTCAGCACATCCTACTTATGCCAATGCTGTTTTCAGGTAAACATTTTTAAAAAGTAGTATTTTATGGTCTGCTTGAGGCAGTGATTAGTGTCAAGAAATTTGGCATTTATATGATTGACAGCTCTTTGGGGCAAAGACTGTAACTTCCATTATTTTGTCAGAGTTGGATATGCTGTGGACGCTGCGATAATATGTGTGTCATAGTGAATGAAATAATGTGCTGAAATAGTGAAATATTTCTTCATTTGTGTGGGGAAAGTGTACTACTGATACAAGTTTTGGGGTGTATGTCTGTACTTTGTCATTCTTTACTGCAAGAGGGTTTAATTCTCTAATTAAAAATAGGGATATATTTTCTATTTAAGACTCTACTGTGTTAAATTACTTCTGTACATTTGCATAGAATTGTCCTTCTGTTGTGTGTCTCCCTTCTATCCATGGAACAGCAGCTTTAACATGTGAATATATGCAAAGAGTGGTCCATTTTCTGTAGCTTAAAACTCACAGAGAGGTTGCCATGAATTAAGCCTAATGCTTTTTCAATCACATTTTGAAACACAAAACATATTTACAGTGAGCTTCACTTGGAGTCAGGGATGGAAGATGGGAAGGCTACACATAGTGCTCTGGATAATCCTGGAGTTTGACAGAGGCCAGATTGTTCACTGACCTTGCAGGATATTCCTTGTCTTTTTCCCAAGAAAAAGTTTTCTTGGGTGTCAATGACATCTGGGACATTTACCCCAAAAGATTATCTCAGAGAAAACAAATTGTGCTCCATCCCAGTCCTCAGTATCAGTCAAACCAGTATTTCCATCTACCAGGTTAAAAGATTTGTGTAACAACTATGTCACAGTCCCCAAAAGAATCAGGTTAGCCAATTTAAAGAAGAGACAGGAGATGCAAAAAGTGATTTTCCACATCTTACTGCTATACATGTTTGTCAAAAGGTTAGTGCTCTCTCCCTACGAGTGTGACCTAAAATCAGTATCTCATTGGCCACCGACTTAAAGATGCTGCCGAGCTTTTTGGCACTGCTCTGCAAAAATAATATTGCTAACGTTATCTCTTGCTCAGCTGCTGTAGTGCACTCGTTCACACAGAACACATAGATTGCCTCGTTCCTTGGTGTAATTTAAATACAGATTTTTTTTCTAGTAATATTAATATATTTCTAGCAACCGTTTTCAAGCAAAGTTCTGGAAGATAATGAAGACAGGCTAATACCTGACAAGCTAATACCTTTAAAGATGTGCTGTCCACTGATGCTTCTCCTCCAGGTCACTCCACATTATAGAACACAATGGTCCTGCAGCAGCTGGGAGAAAGATGGCAGCTCGAAACAAAAGGATTTTGGGATGTGTGGACTTTTTATCCTAGAACCGATAGTATTTGTCTCTGAAAGAGATGCATTTCTTTGGCATTTGAGACTCCTTGCTTAGAGTTCCTTTCCCTAACCTCTGTCAAGGACAGTTTTGTTAGGCAAAGAAGAACTTCACGGTTTTGCCAGGTTTATCAATGGCAATTTCCTCTCCCCTTTGTCTGGTGTGCAAGAGAACTAGCTATTCTTTTAAACAGCAGTCATCTCTTTTCTACTGCTAACGAGCTCTGTTGAAGTTCTCACAATGTTTGAACTCCAGATATTGACAGATGCAAATACGTTCTCCAGAGTATCTGCCTGAAATGAGATGGGGTGTGGATGAAAACCCATCTTCAGCTTTAGATTTGGGAATGACTTCCAGAGTGATATTAATACACATGCCTATGCTGCCAGTCAGTCAGCTAGGCACCCCACTCTGGCCTGGTGCAAAGGAAAGATAAGCTTTTTGACGCGCTGTTACACCCCTTGAATGTTACAAATCAATAGCTTAATTTGACAAAGTCCTTTTCTTACTAAAACAAGCTTTACAGCAGCTTATGTCGGGAAGCCAAGCTGCTGAATCAACTAATAGTAGTTTCATTTCTTTTCATCTTTACTGCTTACACTGTGAAAAGTTAATCCCTTCCAATGTGTCTTTCTATGCTGGTCTTCCTTTTTCAGGTACAATAAATGAATAATATTTTAGGCCATATATAATCACAACTGCTTATCAAGGATGAATGAAATTATCCCACCATCCTTCACGTAACTTTAAAGCACTGGATCTGATGTACAGAGGTCTAGAGGAATGGCACAAAGGAGTTACCACAAACTGCCTGTAAAGTGCCATGAAAGTATTATAATAATTTTTGACTGAGGACTGCTATACTATCTGCTAATAGTCACACTTTTGTCTTCATCAGAGAAAAAAAGAAACTAAAATATTATAGGTAGAACAATATTATCGAGTTTATTATTTCTCTTCTCCCTCAATATTTTTGAGGGATAAAAAAGAGGGGAAGGGGAGATTTCTACTGTGCTGGAGGACCTGGGATGATCTTAGACCTAAAGAGCACATATCAACTGACACAGGCAGAACTTGGCCTCATTTCCAGGACGCTGAATCACACACCCAGGCCTACAGCCCCTGCTACATTAGTTAGTATGGCTGTATTACTTCTCTTCCTCCATCAGCCTCCATATCCGTCTGACCAAATGTAATTTGAAGAATATGGTGTTTGAAGTGATCACTGGGTAGTTTAAAGGTACAATATGGGTGCACAGAATCGCAGAAGGGTTGAGGTTGGAAAGGACCTCTGGAGGTCATCTGGTCCACCCCCAGCTCGAGCAGGGCCACCCAGGGCCAGTTGCCCAGGACCACGTTCATGTGGCACCGAAACATCGCCAAGGAGGGAGACCACAACCTCCCTCAGCAACCTGTGCCAGGGCTCCGTCACCCTCGCAGGGAAAAAGTGTTTCCTGCTGTTGAAGCAGAACCTCCTGGGTTTCCGTTTGTGCCCGTTGCCTCTGGTCCTGTCGCTGGCCCCGCTGCAAAGAGCCCGGCTCTGCCTTTACAACCTCCCTTCGTGTATTTATGATAAGGTCCCCCCAAGCCTTCTTTTCTCCAGGCTAAACAGTCCCAGTTCTCTCAACATTTCCTCATCTAAGAGATGCTCATCTCTTAATCATCCGCATGAAAAAAGCCTAATATTAGCAAAAGCTTTTGGTAACTCAGTGATAACTGTTTGTAAACGAAACTGTAGGTTATTCTGATTCACCCTCTCATGTGAGCACCATGCTAGTTAGTGTGTGAGAGTGGCAGTAACTGAGTAAGAACAACTTTGTTGCCCATTTCAAAGAAATTTAAAAAGAACCAGTAGTATAAACATCAACAAAGTAAATCTAGCAATCAAATTATTTCAGCTGTAATACTTTAATAACCCCCACTGGTATTAAGTGCATATAGCTCTGCTAACTTCAACACATTTGTTATGCTGATGATCTGACCCTAAGGCTTTATTAATAATAGAAACAAGATTCTTTTTAATTGTGTCATGGATATTTAAATAAAACTCTCTCTAGATTGTAATCTGCTTAAAACACATGGCAAGCTACAGCCCACAGTTTTTAACCCAGCTCTCGTCATTTTAACTTCCTTTGAGCTCTGTGTCTCTCCTTAATGCCATTAAAATAGGATAGTGACACGGGATAACTGCAGCATACTGGAAATGCTTTTTCAAAAAAGATGAGGCTCCCGGCAGTTCTTATAGCAGCATTACTTCTTTTACAGCAAGTGACTGATTAGAAGTCAGTTATCTGGGGACGATCTCTGGATGCACACAAGTAGCAATACCTATTGGGAAAGGGGGGCGGAAGAATTTGTTTTTATGATTTTTCTCAGGTATAGTACTCATAAATATACATGGTATTCTAATTTTACAACGACTTGTACGTAGCACTTTCCTACTGTTATCTATGTAAGAAGCATATGCTAGATCCTCCCATCCTCCCCGGCTGGGCACGCAAGCTCGGTCACTGCGCTGTAGTCACCTTTTGACTTGAGAAGTGTTTTCAGAACACCCTACAGGACTTGACTGCAGTTTTAGCAACAGGAGTCAAAAAGCACCACGTTTTACTGAAAAGGCAAAGAGATTTTAGGCAGATATATTAATTC